TTTCCAGACTAAACAGGCTACTGAGTGCCCAGCACAAATGATGGAAATGGACATAAGCCGAGGCACATCATCATCACTTTTCAAAATTCCCAGCATAATGAGATCACACAGACCTCTGGAGAGGAAAACCAAAAAGGTCCTTCCCAATGTAGCTCCACACGCCCCTTGCAGGGTCACCTCCTCCCACTACCGCCCAGCTCCTCTCAGGAGCCTACTGGCTGCAGGCTGCTCCCTTCCACCCATCTCCTCTCAAATGCAAATCAGATCATGATTCTCATCTGTTTAAAACCCTCTTGGGGCTGTGCTCAGAACAAAATCTACACATACATAAAATATAAAGGAAACAGGGGCTTTAAGAGCACCTCTAAAGTTTGATGACTCACATGAACACTAACATATTTGAATGAATAAAGGGTTCTGTTTTATAGCCAGCTACCAAAATGGAAACTTTCTTCTTCCTACCTCTCTTGATACCTTCTTTTCTTTTGCCTTTCAGTTTTCCTTTTAGCTATTGGTCCACATTCTTTAATGCAGACTGTTGGTAGTATCAGTATTGTGTTACATGGCTTGCTTCTGAATAGGTTATCTAAATAGGTTTCAAATGAGCAATTGAGAAGCAGGCAAAGTTCCAAGGAGAGCCAACCAACATCATCTCAAGCCTTCATGGATACATAGTGAAGAGAAAAAGACATAGTACAGGGAGCAATTCTACCTGTCCAGGCTAGGCTTCCCAAATTTACATTGTCCATCAGATTATCATCAGTCTAGGAATGAAGAGGAGTCCCCGGTAGTGCAAATGGTTAACATGACTGAAAGGCTGCAGGTTCAAGTCCACCTAGAGGTAGCATAGTGGCTAAGGCACTTGACTGCTAACGAGAAGGCTGGCAGTTCATATCCGCCAGCCACTCCTTGGAAGGAAGACGGGACAATCTACTTCCGTAGTGATACTGCCTCAGAAACCCAAGGAGGGGTTGCTATGAGTTGGGTCCAACTTGACGGCACATAACAACAACAACAACAACAAAGGTACGTAGGGAGAATGAGCTGGCAAGCTCTTCGAAAACATCAGCCACGGAATACCCTGTGGAGCACAGCTCTACTCTGACACACATGGGGTCATCATGAGTTGGAGTCAACTCAAAGGCCACTGGTTAGAAAATAAAAAGCTATATAAGTCTTGAATACAAAATGTGCTTAGTATGTCTAACTGAGTTGATGAAATGGACCTCCAAATTCTTCAAATTTATAAGCTTTTACTCTGAGGTTTGATTCACTCCATAAATATTTTTTAAACACCTCTTCAATGCCAGGCATTGACGCTACTGGGGAATACAGCAATGAACAGACTAGGTGCTTGCAACTACATTTAAACTTACATTTAAAATTAGAACTTTTCCATATGTGCTAGGGAGTTGTATGGTTGGATTAAAATATGAAAAAAAAAAAGACAGTTAAAGAAAAATTACTCATTTCATTTGCTTGTTAACCTAGAAATTGACAGGAAGTAAAGACAACTTGCAATTTACATTTAATGAGAGATTTAGATAATAAACAAGACAAGGCAGGTAATGAGAAACAGTTAGAGGGTGGAAGTTTTCTGAGAAAGGGATTACGTTGGACTAGGGCTTCAAACCAGTTCATTCCAGTTCAGTTCCCTGAGAATTTGCCTTTCTACCCCTAAGATCAAAAGGCAGAAAATGTAGAACAGAATTTCAAATTCTCATGGACTCCAAACTTTCTGGAGCCATGGAGGCTAGATGAATGCCTGAAACTATTGCCCTGAATCTTTAAACCTTAAACCAATAATATCCCCTGAAATCTTTATCATAGTGACCCCTCCTTGGGTTTCTGAGGCAGTATCTCTACAGAAGTAGATTGCCCAGTCTTCTTTCAGAGGAGTGGCTGGTGGGTTTGAACCACCAGCCTTCTGGTTAGCAGTCAAATGCCTTAGGCACTAAGTACCAGAGCTCCCAAATTAAACAATAGCTTAACTTACTTAACTAGTAAAAAGATCTGCCTTGAGCATTACATTCTTTTAAGAATTATTTATGTGGGATCACATTGACAACAGCCACTCCAAAGATTAGACCGGAACCTCAGGGGGCAGTGATTGTATGTTAATGGGGTAGGAACAACTCAGAAAAGGAGGGTGAGAAAGGTTGCACAACTTGAAGAAGTTAATCAATGTCACTGAATTGTACATGTAGAAACTGCTGAGCTGGTGTGTTTTTGCTGTGTATATTGTCAACAACAATAAAATTAAAAAAAAAAAAAAAGATTTCTAAAAAGTGAAATACCAAAATGCTACACTGGGTCAAAAGAAAGTCACCAGTCCTATGAACAATTAATATAACAAGTATGGTTGTCTCATGGAGTCAGAATGTTGGGCAGAACACTGCATGCTAAAATCTTATTGTAACTTCACCACCTGTCGGTCACTTTGTCATACTGTGGTGGCTTGCATGTTGCTAGGATGCTGGATGCTATGCCACCAATATTTCAAATACCAGCAGGGTTACCTACGATGGACAGACTTCAGCAGAGCTTCTAACTAGTAAGAAAGGCTTTGTGATCTAATTCCAAAATTAGCCCATGATCACATCAGAATATCGTCCAACACAGTGTTAGAAGATGAGCCCCGAGGTTGGAAGGCACTTAAAATATACAATGGCCAGAACAATGAGCACGAACCCGCTAACAATCTTGACGACGGTGCAGGAATGGGCAACATTCCGCTCTGTTGCCATGGGATTGCCACGAGTTGGAATTTACCCCACAGCAGCGAACAACCATCTCACAATTGTTCTCTCCCGTGCTGTATCAGCCAGCAATCCTTGTTAGTTCTGCTCCCAGATCTCTAATCAAATCCCTGTCCTCCTCTTCCATCCATGCTGCTTTGATCCCGGCTCTTATGTCTCACACAAACTATCCCAGCAGCTTCCAAAGATGTCATCTTGCTTTAGCCTTACCTCTATTCATTTTACCTTCTGCACTCTCACTAACTAATTTTCTGAAATATATTTCTAATCTTACTTATCTGGTTAAAAACCTTAAATAGGTTGACCAGAGAATGGAGTCTATTTCACACAAGGCCTGCAGAACCTGGCCCCAACCTACAATTCCAATTTCCTCTCCTACAGCCACCCCATGTAACCTGTACACTAGCCACAGAAATTAAGTTTTTTCTTCAAACAAGCCACAGTTTGTCACATACCTTTGTGCCTTTCTCCATGCTATTCCCTCCAACTGGACTGTCCTTCCCAGTTCTCAGCCTTAAGAACGCCTGATTCTTCATGACCCAACACAAATGTCACCTCCTCTGTGAAGATCCTCTAGCTCTCCAAAGCATAATTCAATTAACCCCAACTTGTTTTGCCTCAGTAGCCTTGGTCCACACTCCTCTCACGACATGGATTATTGTCCACTGCTGTGTTGTCAAATTAAAATATGCAAGTCACATGTATAATCTTTAATTTTGTAGGACTCTCAATAAAAAGAAAAATTGGTAAATTTTAGTATTTTATTTAACCTGATATATCCAAAATATTCTCATTTCAACCTGTAATCAATATAAAAAAAAAAAAGATACTTTACATTTTTTCATATTAATTCTTTGAAGTCTAATGTGTACTTTACAATTACAGCACAGTTTAATTCAGACATCAAGTGCTCAAAAATAACTGATCGGGACTTAGATTTCATCAAATTCATAGTTATAATTCACATAGCCAAGTTGTTCCAGATGTAATTACAAGTTTTCCAATAACTGAATCAACATTCATTAAATTACAATGAATTAACATTTAGAAACCAGTTCCTGTCACATCAGCCACATTTCAAGTGCTCACCAGCTTCATGCAGCAAGTAGCTATTACACTGGACAGCGCAGCTCCAGTGTCCTCACCAATAAATAAGCTCATGTCTAATTTACTTGTAGCCTCCTCCATGAATTAGCATGAGCTTGGCACTTAAGTGGTATTTTATGAAAGTACGTTAAATGAGTAAAGAAAAACAGATGTAGAAATCACTTGATTCTACCTCAACACAAAAGCAAAGGCATTTTTTTGTACATAATATAAACGGCAATTTTTATGAATACATATACATAAGCACATACACACACAGGCACAGGTCTATACAAAAGTCAACTAATACTAAGAACGTCTGATTTGTTACTGACTCCTCCAGAAATAAAACCACTTCCTACCTGCTATTCCCCCCCTTGTCTGTACCTGTATTCCTCTTTTCTCCTTCTCTTAATGCATTCGTTGTTGCTCTACACAATTGGTACTTCCTAATATGCATTTGCATTCTGTAGTTATTTTTTCTATCTTGACTTCTCAAATTGTATTTGAAGCTTCTGGGGAGAGAGACCATTCCCTATGCTTTGTAGCTATCATCACATCTGGCTTAATGGTAATAAAAAAGTGTAAGAATTTAATAAATGATATATAATCAGTTGTCAGATGGCTTCTTTTTAGTGACACCTTGCCCCATCAATCCCAGAAGCCCAATCTCTCAGCATTCAATTCACAGGCCCCACTGCCTCTGGACAGGTGCAGCCAGTGGCCTCCCCATGGAAGTGCTTCCTCTCTATGCGCTACAGTGTGACTTACATATGCAATTGTTCTTCACCCTCAAGAAGGTGGGATCGTGTCTCTAACCTCTGTTGTAATACTCACAGCACCTAAAGCAGTGCTCTCATCAAACCAGACCCTTCAGTAGACGATGCTTCCTGTCCACTGCCCGCCTCCATCATTCCCAACCAGCCATGGGACACAGCAACACGTGGCACAGGAGATGGCTGTGAAAGCTGAGACCTGGTCAGTCCTACCAGTCATTCTATGTCCTTAACAACAAATCACTCTGATCAATGGATGTACACAAACGAAATGACACAAAGGAGATTAGAGGTTCATTTTTTATTCTGATTCTGCTTGAATAAGAACCACATAAAAATAAATAAAGGATGCCTTAGTGAATCAGTCAGAGGGTTCCTCTTAGTCTGTGATAGGATTCTCTTTCTTTTGCTTGGATAGCTGTTTGATGTTGTCCAGTTCTGCAGAAGTGAACTTGGGTGTTAACATCACACTGTCATAATCAAATTCTTCATCAAGTGAGAAGGGCTGAACCTCATCTCCGAGTAGCTGTAAGAGGTAAGAAAGGAAGAAAACACACATGCAATCATTTCAGTGAAGACAAAGTTGAAAACATTACCTCCCGGTTAATAATTAATTAAGCTTTTTTTTAGACTTTAGCACTCTCAGCTGATTAATCTGTTTTTAAGTAAAAGAATAAATTCAATTATTCAATTTGACCTAATTTAAGCCCCTTAATATGCCCCATTTGTACCCTGCTGCATCTGAATGAATATCATTAACTAATTTTGCCCAAGGCAGGAATCAGAAAGTCTCCCCTGCACACATTCATCACATTTTTACCACTTGTAGCATTAGGGCTGGAGGCCAATGGAAAAACTAGAGTTACAGCAAAACATAAGAAAATATACTTTGAGAATTTCATCAACTTTAAATATACTCTGACTATATATATACTTCTAAGAATGAAACATAATTTTCCAAGATAAAAATACTCTATACTTAATATACTTCTTCAGATAACACCTGTAAATCCTAGGCCATAAAAGTAAAAATTAAAACACATAGCATCACCTTAAATTAGAAAGCCCAGGATCTGTTCTTTATTTTCCTACCAAGAGTTAACTGTTACAGCATACCTACAAGTCAGAACAGCTGCAAAAGATGCAATACTGTTGTATTTATTTATTCATAAGTCATGATTTTTAAAGACTTCCTAAAAGAAGGCTGGCAAAAAGCACATTTTCTAACAAAAATTTAAAAATCTTAAATCTCATTGTATCACCCCCTACAAAGCCTCTCCAAAAGCAAATGCTATGTGATAGAATGAAATCATCCAGCCCCTGTGTGAGTCTCCAGAATATGTACGGTGCCATTGAAAACTATGGTTTATGCAAGAACGAAAAAAAATGCCCTGCAGCTATAATCAGCTTTAAATATTCTTGCATGGAAAATGATCTCATTGAGTGGCTTTTGCAAGGTTCATGTAAATGAAGCATATGGCTCAGAAATGATGTGCTAGTACTAAGGTGAAAAAGAAATCACAAAAAGTGGATTTCCCTATTGGTGATGGTTAATGTTATATGTCAACTTGGCTAGGCTATGAGTCTCAGTGGTTTGGCAGATATGGACTGGCTGTTCTTCCATAATAGAATATGATGTAATCACATTCCGTGATGCTATCAGATATGATTGGCCAGGAAGTTGAAAGGGGAGTTTCCTCGGGTGAGGTGGCCTATAAACGGATGTTCTGGCAAAGCTCAGTTTCTTGACCCGCACGCTCTTCTTGTTCCCTCACCTCTGGTTCCTGGGACGCCAGCCTGCAGAAGTCTGCAGTGAGCAGAGTTTAGACTCACCGGCTTCTGCAATCCTGTGACCCAGCAGAGGTCTCTGGCTTGTCACTCGACCTACAAATTGGGACTTGCTAGACCCACAACTGCGTGAGCTATTTCCTTGAAGTAAGTATCTTGATAGATAGATAGCTATCCATCTATCTATCTGTTTTACTCCTCTAAAGAACCCAGATTAATACACTAACTGTTCCTCAAGTTGTGTCTTGTAGTTAAGTAAGTGTGCAGTGCTTAACATCCAGCCATCTAGCATCCTCTCTTAGTGAAACCAGGCCAGACACAGGACTAGGAACCATGAGGGCATTAGCACTAATCTTCAAATAACCCAGCTTGCAGGCAGTGGGGTTTATAAAACCCTTTTATAAAGCTTTGAAAGGTTAAGTAGTTTGCCCATGGCTACAAAATCAGTCACAGAGAGAAGCAACATTGAATCCAGGGCAATCTGCTTCAGAAAAAGTTTCACTTTTTCAACAAAAACACCAGAAGAAATCAACTTTGAAATTTTCACTAAGCAAAGTCAAAGCTCTTTGGGGGAAAAAAAGACCTCTTTATGAATAAGCTGAGCAAGTCTCCCAGCCTACCATAAGACAGGTACTCAAGGCTACATGTAATACCATGCCTATTTTGAAAAGAGCATCTGTACATGGGAAGCAAATCATTTTGGTCACTTTGTGAAATGACATTCTTCATCATCATAACCAAAGTGACAGCAGTATTATTAAGATGGGAATAAAGGGGGAAAAAAATCATGATACAACATGTTCATCTCTTGAATATAAGCATCCCTGACATCTCCAACTCTACCCAGCACCTCCAGCCCTGCTCAGCAGTAAGTGCTCAGGCCAGCAGACTTGGCCACAACCAAGCCTGAGCCAATTCTAGCTGATGTTGGCAGGGTATGAGAAGGAGCCCACTGCTTTCGGACTGAAGAGACTCTTGCTGCCCTTTTATGCCTGCGTAACAAAAAAGATTTCAGGAAGTAGCATATTATCAAGAATCAATGGTATTGAAGGAAGAAGTCCAAGCTACACTAAAGGAATTGGTATAAAACAAGGCTCTCAGAACTAATGGAATACTCACTGAGATTTTTCAACAAACGGATATAGCTCTGGAGGCACTTACTCATTCATGCCAAGGCAGTTACTTGGCCAATCGACTGGATAAGTATTCGTGCCCATTCCAAAGAAAGGTGATCCAATAGAATGTGGAAATTATTGAACAATATTATTAATATCACACATAAGTAAAATTTTGCTGAAGATAATTCAAAAATGGTTGCAGCAGTATACTAGCAGAGAACTTCCAGGAATGCAACCTGGATTCAGAAAAGGATGTGGTATGATGGATATCATTGTAGGTGTCAGATAGATCTTAGCTAAAAATGAAAAATATCCGAAAAATGTTTACTTGTGTTATCGACTACGCAAAGGCATTCTACTGTGTGGATCATAACAAATTATGGATCACATTGCAAAGAATGGGAATTCCAGAGCACTTAATTATGCTCATAAGGAACGTGTACATAGACCAAGAGGCTGTTGTTCAAACAGAACAAGGGAATACTGACCACATGGTTTGAAATCAGGAAGGGTTGTGTACTTTCACCATACTTAGTCAATACGTATGCTGAGCCAATAATCCAAGAAGCTGGACTATATGAAGAAGAACGCGGCATGAGGATTCCAGGAAGACGCATTAACAACCTGTAATATGCAGATACACAACCTTGCTTGCTGAAAGTGAAGATGACTTGAAGCACTTAACTGATGAAAATCAAAGACTACAGTCTTCAGTATGAATTACACCTCAATATAAAGAAAACAAAAATCTTCACAGCTGGACCAATAAGCAACATCACAGTAAATGGAAAAAAAAGTAAAGTCAGGGATTTCATTTTACTTGGATCCACAATCAACACCAATGGAAGAAGAAGTCAAGGAATCAGACACTGTATTTCACTGGGCAAATCTACTGCAAAATATCTCTTTAAAGTGTTGAAGAGCAAGAGTGTCACTTTGAAGACTAAGGTACACCTAACCCAAGCCATGGTAGTGTCAATCACCTCATATGCATATGAAAGTCAGACAATGAATAAGGAAGACCAAAGAAGAGTTGATGGCTTTTAATTGTGGTGTTGGTGAAGAATACTAAGGATACCATGGACTGCCAGAAGAACAAACAAATCTGTCCTGGAAGAAGTGTAACTGGAATGCTCCTTGGAAGCAATAATGGCCAGACTTTGTCTCACCTACTTTGGTCATGTTGTCAGAAGGGACCAGTCCCTGGAGAAGAACATGATGTTTGGTAAGGTGGAGGGTCAGAAATAAAGGAGAAGACTCTCAATGAGATAGACTGATGCAATGGCAACACCAATGGGCTCAAGCATCGGAAGAATTGTGGTAACAGCACAGGACAGGGCAATGTGTCATTCTATTGTACACAGGGTCACTCTGAGTTGGAATCATGTCAACAGCACCTAACAATAACAACCAAAAAGGCTGGAGGTTCAAGACCACCTGGGTCACCTTGCAAGAAAGGTCAATCTACTTCTAAAAAATCAGCTGTTGAAACCCTATGGAGAGCAATTGTACTCTGACAATCATGGGGTTGTAACTGGTTTGGAACCCACATGCCTACCAAGCTTCATGTGTGCCCACTGTGGAAGGACTTTGAACCCCATCCTGTTGTCTCTGAAACCTGTCTAAACTTTACTAGCCTAACTCACTGAATGTAGTAACTTTTGCTTTACCCACCTCCCAATGAGGTTACAATACAGTTTCAAACTAGACAAATTCCAACAATAGCATACCATGCCTCCACACTCCCTCCATACAACACAAATAACCCATATTCCCACCTCCCTCCCCTTAATTTATCCAGTCAACAAACATTATTGTTTATTATGTATTAGATACTAGATACTTGCTTTTCAGACAGGGGCAGTTTATATGAGCAGGCCAAAGAAATAAGACACAGAATTTCACATGTACCTTAGGGCTGACAGACCATAAAGTGTAATAAGGTGGAGAGTGGCAAAAGATAAAGATGGTACCAGATCAAGATGGGCCTTGTATGCCATTTATCCTGGAAATGAGGAAAGGCCACTGAAGGATTTTTTGAAAGCAACATAGAGATTTGGTCATCCATGCATTTTATATCAATTGCTTCATTCATTCAAATCTTTACTGAGTACCTACAGGTACCTTCCTAGGTGACGGAGACATTACCAGTTGCTGAGTCAATTCCAACTCATAGTGACCCTATGGGCATCACGTTAGAACTGTATCTCATGAGGTCTTCAACAGCTGATTTCACAGATGTTCTTTACCAGGCCTTTCTTCTGAGGTGCCTCTGGGTGGACAGGAGCCTCCAACCTTTCGGTCAGCAGCCAAGCCTTGCCCTCTTGGAGATTACATCTGGATAGGTCACCTGGGTGATTAACGAGAAAGGAGACTTGAAGGGGATGAGACTGGAGTTAGGAGAACAAGTAGGAGCCTCCTGAAGCCTTCCAGATAAGAAATGATGAGACCAGATCAGAAATTTGAAAAATATTTAGAGGGTAAAGTTGGCAGCCTCCACGACTGATTAGAAATGGAAAGGGAAGAAAAGAGATGATTCAGGAACAGAAACAGGGAAAGACAAGCTCAAGTTTAACATGCTCAGTTTAAGGCACCTGAAGGACTGCAGGTGGAGATCTCC